CGTGAAATCTGCTCATTTTTAAAATATTGCTTGTGTCAAATCAAGTGAATGCAGCCTTTTTTGTTTTATGCTTTCACTTGGCATGCTATGGCAGGGTCCTCAATCTTTACCAGACATGATGGTTTTTAATAGTTCCTGCCAGGGTGTTTGCTTCCTTCCTCGTCCTCCTGCCACATCCATCTCGACCTGCCCTTGTCTCAAATCTAATCAACCTTTTGTTCCACCTCACACTGAACGGGCACAAACCTGCTTCCGCACAACTTTTTTTATTTCATCTGTCCCACTGAGTTCAATTTTCTATTTTTATTTTTTTTGTCCATGCAGCCACTCGTCCTCCCCTCTGCGGCACCACTCCTCTTCATGACTGGTTCTATTTTTGCTTTTTTCCTCTGTTGTTTTAGCCCTTGATTATGTTGATTGGACTTCACTTGTGACTCTTCAAATTGTTTCAAAAGCAGAATTTTTCTCCCCTCTTGTCTCTCTGTGGAATTTATTACTGCTTTTTTTTTTTTAAAGTGCTGATGTAGCCCTGCTGTCACTCAGAACTGACATGAGCTCTGAATTGGTTTGGCTTGACGAGACATGTTGGTGAATTACCTGCCAATCATTTTGATCAAATTCATCCCCATAGACTCTTTCCAGGTTCTAATTAAATGCGAATGTCAAACAAGCACTGTTTTCTTAATTTGGCTTCATCTGACATCTCCTCAATGTTATCTGGATTCTGCTTTTATTCTATGGCTGCTTCTTCCACCATCAGCAGCTCTGTCCTCTAACCGCATTGTTAGAGTTTTCAAATCTTTTGACCCTATAGGTGCTAAGTTTCTTTTATCTCCCAACTCGAAACTTAAATACGGACTGCAAATGGAGTTTGTAATACATATTAAAGACCACCTTGACCAGCTGTAGCGCAGCATGTTTGATGGTCACAAATCAGAGCCTTGTGCTGTACAGTGTGAGGTTTGCTGACTGTTGGGCTTTGCTGTGATTGGGTTCTTTTGGCTGTCAGTCTGCAGCCTCAGCAGTACAGAACGGAGTGAATATGATGAAGAGTGGATTTCCTGATACCATACTGTAAGATTTTCATTGACTCACAGTAATAATAACATCTGGATAGTTTTTAAAGAAGCATTTCTATGAAAATATTTTGTGACTCTACTTTTAAAAAGGCTCAGAAGTGATTCTTACTGGCTTTACTGGGTTAATTAATATGACAAAAAACATCCAGACATCCAGAGAACAAAAGCCAAAAGTTTATTCAACTATTGTCACCCAATCCAGGTAGGCAATAAAAAGTTCTACTGGATTCACTTTGTATTAATCTTTTTCCTGCTTCACAAAGGTAGGCAGCAGCTTGACAAAGCCATGAGGGCAATTATTTTACATCCAAGTAGTATGCAGATCTTCAAATATACACACACACACATCAATTTCAGACAGATGGTAATAGTATGTTATCGGCCGATACTGCACAGCCAGGTATCGTGTATCGGGGCCAAAAAATGGCATTGCTGCAACACTAATAGATGAAAACTTTTTTTTTAATCTTAAATGCAAAATGTTTATATATATATATATATTTTTTTTTTGTGTTGGGCCATTATTGGCCTTAACATGCTGTATGAACGCCAGACTCTAATCAGGTAATAAACAAAATATCATTGTTAATCTATACGCAAAGTTGGTAGCTATGAGTTAGCGCAGATGTGTGTGTGTGTGTGTGTGTGTGGGGGGGGTTGGGGGACAAATCAGTCTTGGGCGTAGGCCTGCTGTTAACACATTGAACGTGGCATGCCAACATGGATGCTTCTATAAAGCCACCTGTTTGCTTCAGGGAAGTACCCACTTGTTTGACGCCCATCAGCGTTGTTGAAGATGATGGGCGTCAACTTGTACAAACTCCCTGCAAACTGGCGAACTAGCATAAGGAGAATACATGATCAGGAGAAAGTCGCGAAAGATGAGAAGTTAGTTAGCACTAACGGTCCACCACTGGTCATCTAACAATAATGATAACTACACCATAAGACAATTTCTAAACACAGATTTTACATTATCCTTAAATGCTGTTGCCATAGAGTTTGGCCCCCTAAGTTTGTCTGCCTGAGTGACTGGTTGAAAAAGAAAAAATAGAGCTTGGACTGACTGACACAAAGCTACTGACTGTAAACAGTTCATCATGACCTATTATGAAGGCCTGCAGTTCAGAATTCATGTGTTTCCGAATAAACAGTTGTCAAACACAAATACATCTTATAGAATATTATTTACTTTCATCACAAGTTATCATAGTAGAAAAGCTTTCTCAAGCAGTTTGTGATTAATTTTGGAAACAGGAGATGAGCCCCTGGTCTAATGTGCCACTGGCTTGAGAAACCCGTTAAAAGACTTGCTTTTACTTATTATATAGGTAGCACACACATATCATCCTTATCTAATTGCATTCTTATCCTATTTTATTCTTATATCTTATTTGTACTTTCA